AAAGGGTGTCCGGAAAGCTATACCATGCACTCGAGAAATAGCAACAAAAGCAAGACCCAAGGAAAAATCCTTGCAGCCTATCAGTTGTTTTTGTCAAGAGTAATTCCTTGACTCTTGTGTAATGGCCCATGCAAGGGTAAGTGGTAATTAGAGGGGCATGGGAGCCATGTATTCCAACAGTTACAAAGAATGAGAAAAGTGAGGCTTAAAAAGCACAAAGCACACACAGTCCAAGATAAGCAGACTTAAAGCTCAGAAAGAGCAGATAGGGGCCAATTTGGTGCATCAAAGAGACTGAGTTTGGAGGAATAAAACATAAAATACAACTGAAAAGAGGAGAGTACCTGAAGCTTTACAGTGAGGATGGTGGGGGAAGCAAGGAGCAATGCGGGTTATGCATGCTTGCCTTGAGGATTTCGATTGAATGAACTGCTGTGGATTTCGGCCGAAACTGCCGCGCAGTGGCACCATCGTGGGAATCAACTCGTGACTTAACAAACCGCGGTTTTGCACGTGACACGCAAATCGGATCGCCCTAATAGAATCGGGGGAGCAAGCTCCCCAATTATTTATTCAAGACAAGTACTTATTCACAAAATGGGAACTTGACAACACAGGCTTCAAAGCGCTAGTATCCCGATTCGGGAGACAATCGAGAGATAGTGGCCGTCGGCATCCTCGGCTGTTCACGTGACCAGGAATTGTGTCGGGTCATTTGCACGCAGTCTCTTATGGAACTTCGCTCATGCAATGGATTGACTTTTGCTTCCTCCTCACACTGGTCGAACTTCAACCTTTCTTTTACCATGTGGGCGGCAATGGAATAATGAAACCCGAGGGATATTTAGATCCTTGAACAATGGGCATGGATTGGGAAATTAGATATTTTATTAATTTCCAGGTCGTTTCACAAGCGCATACGTGAATTGGGGACAATGGGGACGTTGAGAGTGCGCAAGGAAGGAAAGATGTGGTGTAGATGGCACGTTGTGGCTATGATATTTTGAACCATGGGGCCTCTATTGTGGCCGCGTTCACGAGGAGTATAGTGGCAGTACTCGGCCCTCATACCAGGCGGCTCATTGGGAATCAAAGGACCTGAGACGCGGTAGGTGCTTTGCGACATGCCGGGGCGCCTCCGAGTCCACGGTTACAGCTGTTTGGAAAAGTAATGACCCCTCGCTAAAAAATAGTTGAAAGAAAGTGTTTTTGATCCGCCTCATTGACACGCTCGTTTCTCGTTCAGTTCTGAACGGATCTACTTGAAAGTAAGCGGCGCTTTCACACAGTATCCTACATGTTCGGTGAATTCAGAAATTGCCAGGTCCAAAGATTCCGGCTGTCTGATTTGAACCGAACGGATCAGGAGCCATTTCTGCATCAATAATGAGCCGATTTGAATGATTCAGACCTCTTCCGGAAGGGAATATCGAGGCAAAGCATTGAATTCTGAGACATTTTGGATTTGCTCCGAAACAACGTACCAGTAATGAATTTTCAGCCCCGATCAGTAATTCCATTCCTGCATGTGTGTATTAGGGTTGTTTCATTTTATGAGTGCATAGCTGTGGCCACCTTAGTTTCAGCTTTAAGAATCACTTGGATTCAAGCGAATCGGCTGAATATTGACCGAGAATCGGCTGCTGATATGTTCAGTTCAAATCGGGCCGCCAGGATTCGTGGACTTGGGAATTTTAGAATTCTTCGAACATGTAGGGTAGTATTCGAATGCACCGCTTAAGCGCTTTCGAACGCACCTATTTTCAAGAGTTTCGGTTGAGAATTGGCCGAGAAATCACATCGGTAAAGTACCGACTCAAAATGCTTTCTTTTAACTCTTTTTAACGAAGTGTCATTACTTTTGCAAACAGCTGTAAACCGTGAATGATTGAAGAAAACTGTCCATGGGATGCAGATGAACACCGGTCCTACCAAGCCTTTCCTCTGCATTGATCCTCCTTATATCCTTGTCAGGTCGGCAGAATTTTGTGAGAAAGAAATAGGAAGTAAACTGTCGAATGACTTGGACTGGAGTTGAACGAGTGATGTCTGCTGCAATTCCTTGAGGAATTCTAATGAACCACAGATGCGCACCAAGTGCTAAGGACTGCTTAGATGGCTATATATAGAACGCCCATTGAATGCAGATGCACACTGGTGCTACCAAGCCTTTCCCTTCCTTTCCCTTCTACGCAAGAAATTTGTTAGTTCCGTTGAATCTTTTAGGAGGAAAAAAGTGCGACAAATTTTAGTCAAGGCTTGGGCTCGAGTCGAACGAGCGATGTCTGCTTGAATAGCAGCCTATTGGATACAGATGCACACCGAGTGCTACCAAGCCTTTCTCACTCTGTCCACACCCTCTTTAAATCCACTAGTTTAGCAGAATTTGCGCGAGAAAAAAAAAACCTTTCCCTTCCTTTCCCTTCCTTTCCCTTCCACGCAAGAAATTCACCAGCTCCGCGGAATTTTCAGCAAAAAAAAAAAACATGGAGAGAGGCAATTGTAAGGCTCAGGCTCGAGTCGAACGAGCTATCTCTGCTTGAGTCTATATGCATAAGAACACCAGCATTGGGTGCAAATGCACACCAAGTGCTACCAAGCCTTCCTTATCTCTTTCTTCCCTCCCCATATCCTTGGCAGGTCAGCAGAATTTTCAGGGGAAAAAAGCTGTGAAAAAGAAATCCAAATGGCTTGGACTCGAGTCGAACGAGCAATATCTGCTTGAACCGATACAAGACAATATTCATATTGGATGCAGATGCACACCAAGTGCTACCAAGCCTTTATCAGTCTCTCTACCCTCAATAAATCTATTCAGCTCTGCCAAATCTTTGTGAGTAAAAAAAGGTAGAAGAAGCACTGATATGGCTTGGGCTCGAGTCGAACGAACTCCTTCCGCATTATTGGGTGAGAGAGTGTGAATAGGATGCAGATGCACACCGGTGCTACCAAACCTTCCCAACTCTTTCGCTCCCTCCCATATCCTTGGCAGGTCAGCACAATTTCAGAAAATAACCCGAGAAGAACTATGGCTTGGGCTCGAGTCGAACGAGCGATAGCCTGCATGAGCTTATACACAGAACAACACCCAGATTGGATGCAGATGCACACCGGTGCTACCAAGCCTTCCCAACTCTTTCACTCCCTCCCCATATCCTTGGCAGGTCAGCAGATCTTTTGTGAGAAAAAAAATAGAGAATGAACTGGGGAATGACTTGGGCCCGAGTTCGAACGAGCTATCTCTGCTCAGTGCATATGTCAGATAAACATTGGAAGTAGATGCAGATGCACACCGAGTGCTACCAAGCCTTTCCTCCTCTGGCTCTCCCTCTTTAATACACTGGGTTGGCAGAATTTGCGCGAGAAAAAAAGGTGGTGAACTGAAGAGGAATGGCTTGGGCTCGAGTCGAACGAGCGATGGTCTGCATGGACTAAGTACCAGATTCTCCCTAAATTGGATGCAGATGCACACCGAGTGCTACCAAGCCTTTCCCTTCCTTTCCCTTCCACGCAACAAATTCACCAGCTCCGCGGAATTTTCAGCAAAAAAAAAAAAAAAAAAATGGAGAGAGGCAATTGTATGGCTCAGGCTCGAATCGAACGAGCAAGGTCTGCTTAGATGGCTATATAAAGAATTCCCGATTGGGAGCAGACGCACACCAAGTGCTACCAAGCCTTCCTCACTCCGTCCACACTCTCTCTAAATCGACCAGCTCTGCCGAATTTTTGAGAAAAAAAACAGGGTATCAAGTGGAACATGGCTTGGCCTCGAGTCGAACGAGCTATCTCTGCAAGAACTTATACACAGAACAACACCGAGATTGGATGCAGATGCACACCGGTGCCACCAGCCTTTCCATCCTCCCACCCTCACTTCCATACAGGCTGAATCCTTCAGAATCTTTGCAGAAAAAAAAGACGGTGGACAGAAAATCCCATGGCTTGGACTCGAGTCGAACGAGCGATGTCTGCCTTGGATTGTTTATGACGAAACCGGGCATGAGATGCAGATGCACACTACCAAGCCTTCCCTCTTCCCACACTTCCTCAATAAATCCCCTGCTGAGTCGGAGGATTTTTTAGGCAGCAAAAAAGACAGTGTTATGGCTTGGACTTGAGTCGAACGAGCGATGGTCTGCATGGACTTGAGTACCAAATTATCCCCAAATTGGATGCAGATGCACACCAAGTGCTACCAAGCCTTCCTCACTCCGTCCACATCCTCTTCAAATCCGCAGAATTTGTGCAGAAAAAAAAAAGATTGATGAAGGGGAAGGCGACGGATGACTTGGGCTCGCGTCGAACGAGCGATGGTCTGCATGGAGACTTAAGTACGAAATCGTCCCTAATTGGATGCAGATGCACACCGAGTGCTACCACGCCTTCATCTCCATCTCTCTCCCTCCCCATATCCTTGACAGATCAGTAGATTTTTCAGCGAAAAAAGGTGTGAAAAAGGACTACAAATGGCTTGGGCCCGAGGAACGAGCGATAGTCTGCATGAACTTATACACAGAAAACACGGAAATTGAGTGCAGATGCACACCGGTGCTACCAGACCTTCCCAACTCTTTCGCTCCCTCCCATATCCTTGGCAGGTCAGCAGATCTTTTGAGATAAAAATTGTAGATGGGAGAAGCGTCAGAGCTTGGACTCGAGTCGAACGAGCTCCTTCCACATTATTCAGTATCAGAAATGTGAATGAGATGCAGATGCACACCGAGTGCTACCAAACCTTTCCTCCTCTGGGTCTCCCTCTTTAAATATACTAGTTTGGCAGAATTTGCCCAAGAAAAAACAGGGAGTCAAATCTAACATGGCTTGGGCTCGAGTCGAACGAGCGATAGATAGTCTGCATGAACTTATACACAGAACAACACCGAGATTGGATGCAGATGTACACCGGTGCTACCAAGCCTTCCCAACTCTTTCGCTCCCTCCCCATATCCTTGGCAGGTCAGCAGAATTTTCAGATAAAAAATGCTCGAAACAAATCCTCATGGCTTGGACTCGAGTCGAACGAGCAATGTCTGCTTAAATACATTTGGATGCCAACGATAAATTGGATGCAGATGCACACCGAGTGCTACCAAGCCGTTCCCTTCCTTTCCCTTCCACGCAAGAAATCCACCGGCTCCGCCAAATCTGTGTTAGAAAAAAAGTATAGACCAGAACTTCAATGGCTTGGGCTCGAGTCGAACGAGCGATGTCTGCTTGAACCGATTTGAAGACAATACCCATATTGGATAC